CATCATACCACAGCAACATATGTGCACCCACCTTGATAGCAGCACAATTTGTAATACCTAAATCTTGGAAACAACCTAAATGCCCATCGATTGAGGAACAGATAAAAAAGATGTGGTATTTTTATACAATGGAGTACTACTCAGTTGTAAAGAAGGATAAACTTGAAACTTTTATAGGTAAATGGATGCCATTGAGACCATACTCATAAGTGAAGTAAATCAGACACACATATGTAAACATTGTATTGTCTCAGTAGTGTGAGAAGCTGAAAGAAACAATGTGTGTGTGTATATATAATGTGATATATATACCATTGTTACCTCCTAGTTACTGTGTTTTGAAAAATTTTTTTAAATAGATTTGAAGGCCAGGTGTAGTACACGCCTATAAATCCCAGCACTTGGGAGGCAAAGGCAGGAAGATCACTTTGAGTTCAAGGCTAGCCTGAGTTACATAGTGAGTTCAAGGCCAGCCTGAGCTACATAGTAAGATCCAGTCTCAAAAAACATAAATAAATAGATTTGAAAAGACAAATAAATAAATTGATATTTTTAACAGACTAAGAAAAAGAAAGAAAGAAAAGAGTAGAGGAGGAATGCCCAGCAAAAGGGTTCCTGTATTGAAAAACCTGTAGTCAAAAAAGATCATTTAGGGGCTGGGGGTTTAGCTCAGCGGCATAAGCACCTGCCTTGCAAGCAGGCGGTCGTGAGTTCGATCCCCGGTACCAATAAAAATGAAAAAGACAAAAAAAAAAAAAGATCGTTTAACTGGACATAGTGGTGCTCATCTGTAATCCCAGCATTTGCAGGATTGCTGTGAATTTGAGGCCAGTCTGAGACTCTGTCACAAAAACCAAATCAAACAAACAAAAAACAGAGTGTAGAAAACTGACAATAGTAGTGAGAGGTGAAGATGCAGAAATTGAGATTGTGAAGAGACTTAAAAGCCTTAAGGAGATAGCATGGGGTTTAAGAATTTGAGACCCTCCAGGCTTAACTCGTTGATCTTAAGCTATTCAGTTAAGCTATCCCATTAACTTTTAGGTTCCTCATATAAAAATAAGTATGATAGAGATTGATCCTTGTCTTCAGGATTTTAGGGAATCATTGAAAGTTTCAGGGAGAAAAACTTGGTAATGATTTATGGTGTAAGGTGGAAATGTAATGGGGTGAAGATAGAAGCCAGGACCTGAACTAGGAGAGTACCATAAAGTTGAGGCTGCAGGTCATGTTAGAATCCCACTATGGAATATACAGAACTTAGCAGAGAAAGATGGGCTAGTAGAGATATTTAGGATGAATAGGCATGACTTGTTGACTCAGGGTCAGAGGTGAGACAGAAGGATATATCAGAGGTGTCACTTAGATTTGTGACCTGGTCAGCTAGGAGGGTGGTAATATTAGTCCTAGAACCCAGAAAGGACAGCTGACTGGGAGTAGGAGGAAAGATGCTGGGTTCAATTGTAGACACTCTGACGTTAAGCTATCTGGGTCTCCCGAGGGAGTCTCAAACAGTTTAGATAAGGGGTAATAACAGGGGCCCTGGGAATGGGCTGGAACTCTGTGCTTTGGTGTTCTGGAGACATGGGGTGTGAGGGCAGGCTGGTTCTGAACTGAAAAGTAACCCAGTTATCTTATCTTCTTCCAGACACAGAGATTGACTGGAAGGCATACATGGCCCAGGTAGAAGGCGTCATTAATGGCACATATGACTACACACAGCTGCAGGGTGACACTGGACCGCTTGTGTGAGTAGAAATACAAGGTTTGGGGAGGTTACGAAGGGCCAGCTGGGTACCAGGCTGCCTGGCCGGCCCTAGGCTCACGTTCCCTACCATCCTCCAGCTACCCGGCTGGCTTTGTGTATATCTTCATGGGGTTGTACTATGCCACCGGCCGGGGCACCGACATTCGCATGGCCCAGCATATCTTTGCTGTACTGTACCTGGCCACACTGCTGCTGGTTTTCCTGATCTACCATCAGACCTGCAAGGTGAGTCCATACCAGCAGGAGCTGCGGGACAGATAGTGGGGGTGGCCCAGGTTTGGGGAGCTGACCTCGTCCCCACTGTGCCTACCCCTCAGGTGCCGCCCTTCGTCTTTTTCTTCATGTGCTGCGCCTCCTATCGTGTTCACTCCATCTTCGTGCTGCGGCTCTTCAACGACCCCGTGGCCATGGCGCTGCTGTTCCTCAGTATCAACCTCTTCCTGGCCGGGCGCTGGGGCTGGGGCTGCTGCTTTTTCAGGTCAGCACTGCTCCCTTCCTGTCCTTTCCCTTTGGCATCACAGAGAGTAAGGAGCGGCCCCCAAAGCTACGTCTGGGGTCTGTAGAAAGTCTCCTCGTGCCCTCTCCATGCACACCCACTGTCTTCCTCTCCTGCTACCGACAGCCTCCATGGCTGGAGTCGGCCCTGGTGCACTGCGGACACGGCACTCAGTGCCTGTGCAGTGTCTGGGCATGGGAACTGGATGTCTGCACCCCCACCCAGCCACCTCCAGGCTACTTCCCCTCCCCCAGCAGCTGCTGGAAGGATTCGCTGAGGTGATGGTGGGCGAGGCTTTGGAAGCCCCACACCCAGGCCCCCAGCTCACCTGTCTTTCCTCCCCTGTGTTCCTGCAGCCTAGCAGTCTCTGTGAAGATGAACGTGCTGCTCTTCGCCCCCGGGTTGCTGTTCCTCCTTCTCACACAGTTTGGCTTCCATGGCGCACTCCCCAAGCTGGGCATCTGTGCTGCCCTTCAGGTACCCCTCCTTGGCACTCCCCCCCCATGAAGTGGAGGCCACTTGGCTGGCCTCCTTTCATCCCTCAGGCTTCCTCAAAGCTGAGTCAGGGCTTTGGAGTCCATGCTGAGCTGACAGTCGCCATGTCTGCTTTAGCCTCCGTAATCCTGTTATATAGCTGCTGAACTGGTGTTGTAGCCCAGCTGTTGCTGACGTAATCCCAAACTCAAAGCCTCATCACCACTTTCCTCCTCGACTGACTGCTCAGGATAGGCTCCAGCATGGGCGGCTGTGGGGAGGTGGCTTCCCATTACTCCTGGTGGGAACTGGGGACCCTCTAGAGGTCCCAGCTCAATCCTGCTCCCCTTGGCGGTTGGCATGAGGCTGGGGTGAGCCTTGGCAGCCCTGCTGACGTCACATCCACCCTCAGGTGGTGCTGGGTCTGCCCTTCCTCCTGGAGAACCCCCTCGGCTACCTGTCTCGCTCCTTTGACCTCGGCCGCCAGTTTCTCTTCCGGTGGACGGTAAACTGGCGCTTCCTCCCGGAGGCACTCTTCCTGCATCGAGCCTTCCACCTGGCCCTGCTGGCCGCCCACCTCAGCCTGCTCCTGTTGTTTGCTCTCCGCAGGTGGCACAGGTAAGAAGAAGGGGCAGGGGAAGCAGAGTTGGGGAAGGAATAAAGAGCCTGGACCGTAGAGGCTACCTGGAGGAGATGCCAAGCTTCTGGGAATGAGTCTGGAGTTTGGCCCGTGATGGTCGCTTGACAAATGTCTGAATTGCTTCTTCCCAGGACAGGAGAAAGTATCCTGTCGCTGCTGAAGGATCCCTCCAAAAGAAAGGTCCCACCCCAGCCCCTCACCCCCAATCATATCCTTTAAATCACGGAAAGGTAAGTCCTGCCCTGTCCAGGTGTCCAGTTCTGGTGACTGGTAACCAGAGGGCAGGAAGAAGAGCTCTACCAGTGGGTAGAGCTCCTCTTCTGCCGCACTGTGCTGAGTACTTTATACACGGATCATGTTTTACTCTGAATTCTAAATGCCAAGCTATGTATCGAGCTGTGGTGACACATGCCTCTCATCTCAGCTCTCAGGAGGCTGAGACAGGAGAATGCACACTGGAGCTGCATAGCATGTTCCAGGCCAGCTGGGGCTACACAGAGGGGCTCAGTGAGTGAATACACAGCTGTGTGTTGCGGAGGAGTGGTGTAAATGATCGAGCTGTCACATGAGCGCTCACACTGCAGCTTGAGAGTTCCATTCATTCTAACACTTAAAGCTTACAGAGACCCTGAGATAGGAAGGTGCTCTGATCCTCGTTTTGTAGATGACAAAAACCAAAGCTCTAAAGGGTTACCATGAAGGATCCGGTGTCACACAGCTAGCGACAGATTCGAAGTCACCAGCACTGTGGTCCAGAGCGGGTGTAGAACAAGGGCAAAGCCAGGGCACTTTCTGACCCCCAGACTTCTGCCCCTCTTCTTTGGGGGCATCCCTGCCCCCCAGTCCTGCCTTGGTCCTGCCCTTTGGCCTTGATCATCACCCACAGATCGTTTCCACCCTGTTCACCTCCAACTTCATCGGCATCTGCTTCAGCCGCTCCCTGCACTACCAGTTCTACGTGTGGTACTTCCACACACTGCCCTACCTCCTGTGGGCCACGCCTGCGGGCTGGCTCACACACCTGCTCAGGTATGGAGGGGGAGTGGGGATGACTGGGGCATGTGTCCAGGGGCAAGGGGCCAAAAGGCGATCACCTTGGAGCCAGGCCGCACCGAGCAGAGCCATCTCTCATCTCCAGATTGCTGGTGCTCGGGCTCATCGAGCTCTCCTGGAACACATACCCATCCACGTCCTACAGCTCTGCCGCCCTGCACGCATGCCACGCTGTCATCCTGCTGCAGCTCTGGCTGGGCCCTCAGCCTTTCCCCAAGGGTACCCAGCACAGCAGGAAGGCCCACTGAGATCCGTACCTCACCCCGACCTGAGCGGGACCAGGGGCTGGGCTCTGAGCCCTTGAGATTAAACCTGGCCACATCCACCTTTGTGTAGCCTACGTGGAGCTGGGGGCAGCTGGTACCTGGCCAAGCTTCGGGGACCTGGACCCAGCAGACACAGCACTCAGCACCCTGGGAGGCTGAGCAGAACGTTCACCAGTTCAAGCCCAGCCCAGGTTCCTTAGGCCCTACGGCAAAATGAAAAGGGCTGGGGATGTAGTGGCTCAGTGCAAAGACCTGGGCTCACCTCACAGTGCTGTGAAAATAAAAGGATCACGCCTGACCCGGTTACTGTAGGAGGCACTTTATTGCGTGGGATGGGACTGTGGCTCACTCCCCTCACACTGCAGCGGGAGCTCAGCGTGCACGGGGAGGGACACAGGCAGGCACTTCTCATGAGGGCCAGGGCCTGGAGGGAGGATGGAAGCGGTGGAGGCCAGGCTGGCACCAGCACACCGATCTTTCCCAAGAGCCAAGGCCGGCCCTGGGCGGCAGTGAGGAAGGTGGTGCCTGGGGTGGCGCGGCCCTCACACATTGGCAGGGCTGTAGCACAGCAGGTGGAGCTCCAGGTTCTGGTCCCAGTGGCGCAGCAGCAGGAAGAGCCCTCGGGCAGCAGCCTTGAGCGCGGCCAGGTCGAGGCCGTCGGGCAGGCGCTGGGCCCGCAGCCAGCAATCGGCCTTGGCCGCTGTCAGCTCCCACTCGCCGAAGGCGGCTGCGCAGCGGTGCTCCAGCCACGCGAGCGCCACGGCCGTGGCCCAGCTGCGGCCCCGCAGGTCTGTGCCGCCCGGCCCGTCCGCCCCCTCCGAGGCCTCGGTGTCGGAGCCCCGGCCGCTATCTGCCTGGCCGGGGCCTTCGGATCCTGAGCTGGGCGTCGGGCTGCAGGAGGCCGTGGCACTGTCGCCCTGGCCCACCCCCGGGCCCAGCAGCGCCCAGGGCGACGCCACCGAGGCGGGGCTGAGACTGCTGCGGTGCGCAGCGAAGGGCGAGGCACGACACAGACGCTCCTGCGGGATGCGCACTGCGGCGCAGAAGGGCGCATCCAGGCGGAAGCAGCCGGTTGCCTCCTGCAGCCGCACCTGAGGAGAGAGGAGGTGGGGGGACAGGCAAACTGGACACGCCAGCCCAGGCCCGGCGACCGGCCTCCCTCCACCTCCCGAGTCCTCACCAAGGGCAGGTAGTCATGGGCACTGCCTGCACCGCGGCCCTCGCCGGCCTGGTCCGAGTCCGGGCTGCTCTGGTGGTGGCGGCCCAGGCTGAGCCTGGAGGGAGGCTGGGGGGGCGCGCGGCGAGGGCCCCCCGCGGGCGTTGTGGGCTCCCCAGAGGTCAACTGGGAGTTGCCACCGTGGTCCAGGTCCCGGGTGTCTGCAGAGAGCCTCTCTGAAGCCCCATGGTGGGGTTCAGCCCCGTGGTGCCCCACTCTCCCCGGCCCGTGGTACCTTCAGCGGGGACAGCTGTGGTCAGAGATGCTGCAGCCACTCCTTGGGGCCCTGCCAGCTCTGCAGGGATCAGGAGACAGGTCTGTCGGGTGCACAGCCAGCGAGGTGACTGCCGCTCGAGAGTCTGCAGCAGGTAGAGCCCACTACCTACCTGAGCTCCGCACCTGCAGGGCCTCAGGCAGCACCTCCCTGGTGGCAGCGTCCACAGCTACAGGGCAAGTGAAGCAGGAGGGGGCCAAGCTGACCTTGCTCGTCTGTAGGGCTCGGAACAAGGACCTCCGCGCCTGGCCTGTGAATCAAGCAGAGTGCTCACTTGCTATGGGGCTGCACAGGAGCATCAGAGCACCTGTGCACTTCCCAGGCCCCAAAACAGCTCAGACGCCCCAACTTCAAGAATGGGTCAGACTGGACACTTAGTTCTCACAAGGACAGGCCACCTAGGAAGTCAGGAGTCTGGGCTCCTTCTGGGATCATTGCCCGGTTCCTTTTCCCCTACTCTTCCAGTACTATCCCATAGGACTTCCTCGGTGCATGGAAAATGTTCCGTATCTACATGAATACATGGACCAGTGTGATAGCCACTAGTGACATGTGACTATTGGACACTCGAGTGTCCAGGGACAACAACTCGGTCTGAGACTCTGTGTGTGTGTGTGTGTGTGTGTGTGTGTGTGTGTGTGTGTGTGTGTGTGCGCGTGTGCGCGCACGCGCACGTATGTGCACTGTACTGGGATCAAATGCAAGACCCTGCACTAAACAATATCTCCATCTCTTTTTTTTTGTTTGTTTTTTTTTTTAGTTTATTTTAGTTTTTGAGACAGGGTATTACTATGGTAGTTCAGACTGGCTTTGAACTTACTATGTAGCCCAGACTGGCCTCCAACTCACTGTGATCCTCCTGCCTCAGCTTCCTGAGTGCTGGGATTACAAATGTATGCCATCACACCCAGCTTCCCAGCTCTTTTACTTTTTGAGATAGGGTCTCACTATAAGCTTGCTCAGGCTGGCCTCAAACTTGTCATCCTCCTGCCCTCAGCTTCACAGGAAGATGGGAACCACAGGCACTCACCTGCATGCCTGGCTTAATTTCTTGGCAATGTGGTGAGCCACCTCAAATCATTCGTGATCAGAATGAGGAAGCACATGATCCAAAGAGACCTCTAAGCCTCGGCCACTCTGTCCCATGCCCACAGGCCCTGACTTGGCCCACTAGCAACTCACTTCGGTCAGCCACAGTCTCAGCCCCTCCTCGGAGAGCCAGCTGTTCATTGTCCCGAACCACGGAGGCCGCTGTCAGCCGGTGCAGAGCTTGGTCCCAGGCTGCCTCTCTTCCAGGGGGCAATGGAGGCGATGGGCCATCCTTGGGCCCCCACAGGGTCTCGAGCCCAACACCCACCTCCCAGCACATAGGCTGCTGCCCACACAGGCCCCGGATCACCACATGGCAACGGGGAGCCTGGGGGGGCAGTGGCTCAGCCGGAAGGGCTGACACCTCACAGGGGGGCACAGCCGTGAACAAGTAGGGTGGCTCCATCAACATGTCCCAGTCCAGGGGCCCGGGGGAAAGCAGGTTTCCTGGGGGAGGAAGCAGCTGTGCTAAGGGCAGTACTCGGGGGCCTAGGCCCCAAGGCTCCTCGGTGTCAGGGAAACCATCACCTCACCCAGCCCTTACCTGAGTCATCCAGGCCCTGACCCAGCTGCTGGGCAGGCTCTGGGCCAGCCCCATCTGGTACTGCACTCAGAGATGGGTGCCGAAGGTGGCCAGGCACTGGGTTTGCCCGACCTGGCGGAGATGAGAGACTTCGGCCGGCCAGAGCTGCTCTGCACCGACGGCCCAACACCTCGGCACTCAGGGCTCCTGCCTGCTCAGGAGATGCAGGGCCACTGGTCAAGGAACACATAGTTTCTGGGCATCATCCACTCACATGCAGCTGGCTGCATGGTCCTTGCAATACCACCTCTCTACTCCTTTCCCACTTAAGGTTGATGTTTGTCTCTCTGTTTTTGCTTTTTTTTTTTTTTTTTTTTTGTGGTACCGACGATTGAACTCAGGACCACACGCTCGCCAAGCAGGCACTTAATGCCACTGAGCTAAATCCCTGTCCCTTTTTGTTTGTTTTGACCGTCTTTTTATTTTTTTGGTACTGGGGATTGAACTCATGACCTTGCTCTTGCCAGACAGGCACTTGTGCCGCTAAGCTAAACCCCTAGCCCCTAGCTAGCTTCTGCTTATTCTTCCAGACATGGTTCCTACTTTCCCTCTGACAGAGTTAGCTGTCCAGGCTCTGGGCTCCATGGCACTGTGCCCTGGTTGCTGCATGTTGTTATGACTATAGATTCATACATCTATCACCTAGCTAGACGTACTAGTCAAGACTGCAGCAGGTGGTAATAAATCTCGCTGGCTACTTGGATAAATGTGGGCTGAATCTTACCTTGAATGAAGCTTGTGGGGGTGCAGGCAGTGGGCAGGATCGGGTGCCCACGGGTTCCCCCCGGGCCAGGCTGCGGAAGCCCTGCTGAGAAGGGGGATCCAGGGGAAAGGTCCCCTCTGGGGAGCCCGGGCCCTGGGAGCCTGGGGACTCGCTGCTCCCCATGGAGCCTGGGCCTGGCTCGGGGCTGGCTGAGCAGTGGGTGAGCACGTACTGCTCCCGGATGTAGGAGGACTGGAAAATGCGGCGCCATATGGCCGGGTCGGAGGACGGGTTGGGTCCCGGGTCCGTGATGGGGTCTGTCAGAGCATCCGTACCTGTTGGGGGGCAGGAAAATGGGCCCCAGCCCGCCCTGCCCCTCCCCTCCCATTCCCCTCTCCAGCACAGTCCCACATGTCACTGGGGCACTCACTGTGCTCAGAGTCCCCGGCAGCCCATGGGTGGGACACCTCTGCTGACACAGTGCCAAATGTTCCTGGTGGCTCTGAAGTCCCAGTGGGCTCCGTGCCAGGGCTGGCGACAGATGGCACCTCCTCTGGGGACAGGAACACGGAGCCACCGAAGCTCTGCCAGCCAGGCTCTTGGGCCTACGAGGAACAGCCCTGAGAAACCACTTGATGGCAGCTCCCACTGCCCTGCTGAAACAGGGCCTCTCGGTGGACGGCATGGCACTAACCACCAGGAGCAAGAGCCTAGTACTGGGGCTCCTGGCCATGAGGATGAGCACAGCCACTTGTGCAGGTGAGTTTTGGGTCTGCCTGAGCTTCCTGGCAGCCAGATAAAAAGGCAAACAAGCTATTATATGGCTCTTACAGTACAAGGGGAAACAGCACACTTAGTTCTTCTAGGTAAATACAGCTTTTCATTTAGAAAGAAAAAAATGAACGTTTCTCCAACTCCTACTATGGGTGAAGGATCCTGCTCAGGGCACAAAAGGTGGAAACTTGGAATGCAGCAACCTCACAGGGAGGAAATGGGCTCAGAGAGGTTACAGGCCCGGGCTCGTCAGCGGAGAAGCCGGGACTGGAGGTGACTCCTGGGTTAAGTTCATACCCACTGTCCTGCATGTCACAGGGAGTGTGTTGAGTAGTGCTTTCCATGGGCCACTGTGTGAAGACTGAAAAGCATCTCAGTAAATGCTGGAGTTGCTCAGTGGTAGCCGTGAGCTTTAAGCAAGAAACAAGGGCAGTGCCTTACAGGACAGCTTTTTGCAGACTTGAGGAGAGGGGCAGGATGCACTGCCGGGGTGGGGAGGGGGTCAGAGTACACATCTATGGGGCCTTAGAGGTTAATAGAGGAGTTTTTCAAGAGAGGAAGTTGCTGAAGCTGCAGAACCGAAGCCCTGGCTAGGCATACCTCCACGGGGCGGGTTCGGAAGCCATCCACCCTGAAGAGTGCACAGTAGCCCAACAGCTGGTCCCCAGGGTAGAGTGCTGGGATCTCCCGAGGGGTGAGCAGGGCCTCCACGGTGTCAGGCACAAACCAGTCCACAGAGACATCGCTGAGAGCGGGCTCCAGCGCCTTCCGCACAGCCTGCACCAGCTGTGGGGAGTGCGGGAGAGGGGGGGACACACCAAGAGATCAGGAGTCACAGGCAAGGCAAGCAAGCTGCTCTTCTCTGAAGGGACCTGCCCAGCCCTGAGCTGATAGGCAAGAGGACTGGGCTGGGATAAGAGAAGAAAGGATCTGGGAGGCTGAGTCAGTAGGATCACAAGTTCAAGCCCAGGCTGGGCAACTTAGTGAGACCTGCGTCAAAAATAAAAACTGGGTTGGAGATGTAGATCAGTGCAAAGGCCCTGGGTTCAGTTCCCGGACTGGGGGAACGAGGCTAAAGCAGGGTGGGGTATGCTGAGTGCTTGGTTCTCAGGCTTGGTCTGTCTCCTGGCCCAAGCTTTGCCCAGTGGATGGGATAGGACCTCCACAGACAAGGTTCAGTTCCTATGACTGTCCCACCCCATCACCTTCACAACACCCCCAGGTCTTCCCCTGCCCAGCATCTTGGGAGAGGTGGGAGGGACCCAAGCAGGGAGAAGCCCCTGGGAGGTTACAAGAGCCCAGCCCCATGAGAGTCCCTTTCAGTTTGGAGTGTGGCTTGGGACAAGGACTTCAGACGGAGCACAGGCTGAGTGCTCACTCACCGTGGGCTGCAGCCTTTCCCCGGGCCGCAGGAAGTGGGCACTGCCCCTGCTGAGCACTGCCAGTCCCTGGAGCAGCTGGCAGCAGGCGGCTCCCAGCCCAAAGGTGAAGCACCTGGCAGGGAAGGCAGGCAGCTGTGACCTCTGAGAGGGCCTGGGGGCTCGGTCCCTGGCACTTGACTCTGCCCTCTGCCTACCTGGCTGAACCCCGGTGCCACCTCATAAGCTCTAGGGCTTGGTGGGTGGTGGCAGCCCCAGGCGAGGCGGCGGTGAGCAGGAACAGCTGCCGAGGGTGGGCCCTGTGCTGCGGCTGCCCCAGGGCCCAGTCCAACACGGCAAGCACATCTGGGGGACCCTGTGCTGCCTGCAGGGTGTCGATGCTCTCGCAGATCAGCTGCACAGTGTCCTGGAGAGAGGCCCAGGCTGGGTGTGACACGGCGGGGCCATGCTGAAAGGATCCAGGCAAGGTCCCCAGCCCAGGCCACACTCACATCGCTGCAAGGCCGGCTCTCAGGGAACAGTGGCTGCAAGGATTTCCCAAACACAGTCAGGTTGACAAGCGTCTGAGAAGGGAGGGACTTCACGGCCAGCACAATGGCATCCTGGAGGAGGAGGAGAGGACAGCCAACTGCTCACTGGCTCCGGCCAGGATAAAATGGGGTGCCAGGGAGACCAACTCTGTGACTGGGCCGCTGAGTGTGACTGGCCCTTGGAATCTGGGAACCACACACTCCAGAGTATATGAGAAAAGAACAGTGGAGGGTGGGCGTGGAAAGATGGCATCCTCAGGAAAAGAAGACCCTGGCTGCTAGAGGCTGCCCCGTGCTCACCTGCGACCAAGCACCCCACCCAAGCCCGGGGCCATCCCCAGGGAGCCCCACGGGCCTTGTGTGCTGTGCTGCTGCCATCCAGCAGGAAGAGCAGCTCCCGGGTAGCTGTGCCCAGGTGTCCGGGACTGGCGCTCAGGTCCGGGCAGAAGCTCAGCACCAGCACTGGGTTCAGCAGGATGTCCTTGTGGAAGCGGCGCTGGAGGAACCACACCTGGCGGGGAGCCCCAGGTCAGCCTAGGGGAGCTCAGTGCAGCTCAGTCCAGGTCACAAAGGGACCTGGCCCTGAGGCCCCTTTCTGTGCAATCCCTCCCAGAGCACGTTTGGAGTGGGCTGGGTGAAATGGGGGTGGGTAGGAGGCCATGTCCTGCTTATTTACACCATACCTGCGTCCTCCCAGTCCCCCCGGGGGGCAGAGGATGCACCCAGGCCCCACCACCACCCCATCCCGATAATACCCATCTGCCCTCTGGGCTAGGCCAGGGTGACTGCCAGGAGAGATCTTGCTGAGAAAAGAGGCCCTGCCCCACCCCAGCAGGAGCCTGTACCTCACAAAACACAACTACCACCAGCACTGGGGCCACAGAGCCCAGGCCGGAGCCCCCTAGCCCTACCTGCCGGTCGCCATCACTGTCCTGCCGCTGCAGCCTCTGGAAATCCCGGCGGGCCCTCACCTGGGCTTCGTATTCTGCTGAGCTCAGACTGCCAGCCTCCAGCATCAGGTGTGGCTGGTGGGGCTCTGAGATGGGGGACACAGCTCTGTGGAGAAATCCGCCCCCCCCCCCAGCCCAAACGTCTAGCACCTCTCACAACTGGGGACTGAATACAGGGCCTGGCACTGCTCTGTGGATCCCCAGTCCTGATTTCTTAAATTCTAAAACTGGTCTCACCAAATGGCTAGGTTGCCCAAACTGGGCTTGAACTTGTGATCCTCCTCAGCCTCCCAGAGTGCTGGCATTACAGGCATGTGCCACTGTGCCCAGCTCAGTCCCTCTGTTTTAAGAGGTCCAAGCAGGCCCAGGGGCCCTGCACCAGGGACCCATCCTCACAGAGGGCTCCGCCTAACCGGCATGGGGCCTAGAAATCTCCATGTGTAAATGCTTCCTGCGAACCGCATGGCCAAGGCTCTCACCACTGGGGTGCAGCAGGATCTCCAATGGCCGGTCACATTGGTGGCGCTCGGCCAGTGTGACACAGATGGTGGCCGCAGAGCTGGCATGAGGGGGGGCGTCCGCCCGCAGGGCATGTGAGGGGCTCTCCAGGCCTGAGGGACAGAGGCAAGGTGGGGTACCGGTCACTCTGCCCCAGGCCAGCAGTAGGCACACAGACACTGCTTCCCTGAGGACAGTGGCTTTGGACAGGGGTTGTGACTCGGCTCAGCTGTAAGTACCCACCCACCTGCCAGCAGGCAGGGCCCGGTCACCAGCATCTCGAAGGAGAAGGTATAGGGGGCAGGGCAGCGGGCAGGGCCTGAGAACACGTCTGGAGGGGCAGCGGGCTCCTCCTCGTGGATCAGCCCTTCCTCCTGAGGGCTGCCCACCCCGAAGCAGCTGGTGGGGCTGGAAGGGTTAAGCAGGGTCACTCCTGAGGCCCCCTGCTCTGATGGCTGACTGTCCCCACCCCCCACCGCTCTCCCTCACCCTATCCAGCCCCCAGGGCATCCTGCCGAGGCCCCCTCACCCGCACTACACCCAGAGTAGCCAGGGAGGGACGAAGAGAATCACCATAGGCCCAACCTGTCGTCACAGAGCCCCGGAGGCCTGGGGGGCCCTGGTGGGCCTGGCGGGGCCAGTGGGGTGAGTACGGTGGGCAAAGCCACACGCAGCACCCCATCGGGCCTGGAGGGGAGCTCCCGGCTGCTGCTCAGGGTCACTGTCATGGTGCCAGCCGCGGCAATCAGGCCCGTGGGCAGCACCAGTGTGGACCGGGCCTGGGCCAGATCCAAGACAAGATGACCTGTGATGGAGCACAGGAAAATCAGAGGAGGGGGCACAGAGGAGAGGGGAAGACAGAGCCGGGAGCAAGCACAGAGTCGGGGGGATTCCCATGGCTGGCAGGACACACTGGGCATGCGGCACAGAAACGAGATGGGTGATGGTGGGCGAAGCGGGGTGATGGCGGAGGAGCCAGCTATCACCAGTGGCCAAGAAGAAGCGGACATACCCCTCCCCATGGTCTTGAGGGGACCACACCCTCTGCCTCTCCTCCCCTGCCTGCCCCTTCCAGCTCAGCCCGAGGCACTGATCTTAAAAGACCCCCCCCCCCCACAGAACTGTCTCTCTGGCCAGGCACCCCCTGTGCTCGGAGACTCCCTCCTCACAAACAGCAAGGGCTCCCAGTGCCCACCATGGGGCCTCCAGGGCTTTCTGCCTGGGAGGGGAACAGCAGTGGGAGGTAGCTTAGAGGGTGCAGCACCCCTGCACACCAGGCACCCCTTTTATTCAGGTCCTAGGTTTCTGCATTGCCTGCGACAGTCATCCGGCCCTAGCCCAGCTTTCTAGCCCTACCTTACCTCACCTCCCCACCAGAAGCGTTTGTGCATCCTTTTGAGGAACACTTACTGAATAAAAAGAGAAGAAAAGAGGATTGGGGATTTAGCTCTTTGGCATAAGCACATGCCTTGCAAGCAGGCGGTCATGAGTTCAATCTCCAGTACCGATAAAAATTAAAAATAAAAAAAAATTTTTTTAAAAAGGGAAGAAAAGGAAAGGACAGTAGGGAAGGGATTCCCATGGCCCTTTTAAATTTTTAAAAAGGGAAGAAGGAAAGGGGTTTCCACCCTAGCCAGTGCAGGCAACACTGCATCAGGCTGGGAAGCTCAGCTTTGCTATTTCTAACTGCGCCCTTTGGCAACTTTCTTAGGAGACTCAGTTTCCCCATCTGTAAAATGGGGAGCACGATAACTACTCATTAGAGACTGTGGTGAGTGTTAAATGGCAGAACCTATATGAAATATCTGAGGTGTAAGTAAGTGAGCTTTTGATATTATTCTCATCACCACAGGGAGAAGGGAACCACACACATGTCACACATCTAGAGTCACAGCAGGTGACAGCAATCCCCAGGCTTCGAAAAGGGTAAATCACCATACCCATGAGTATGACCTACTTAGGAACCTTTCCCTCCTTGGGCCAAGCCTTCTCCTCCCCCTCAGCCACATGCTGGCGCCTCTTCCTTCAGGAACATTCCTGGGGCCTGAGCCCACAGCTCTCTCTTGCCTCTAACCACCTGCGGGGCCTCTGCCAGCTCTCAGCACCCTAGACAATCACTGCGCTCAGGAGCAGAATAAAATATGAATGAGGAAGAGATGACCCGGTCCCGCGTGGGGCTCGGCGTCCCTCTCCTCCCGCACAGGGCCCTTTTGTGCTGTGTTCTGCGTGAGGAGGTGGACCTTGGAGGTGACCAAAGCTCTGTCCTGAGATCAGGAGCTAATGCTTCAGAGGCAGACAGGTGACCACGACTTCCCCTAGTAAATGTTGAAATGAGGTGGGGAAGAAACTGGGAGGGCAGGAAGACACATTAATTATTTGTGGTGCAGAAGGGAGGGTTTTCTAGGTGAGACCTGCAAACGTGGGGGGTGTGCAGCGCTGGTGGCACCCGGTGTGGGGGGCTGGGGTCACAGCCCAAGGGTCAAGGCCGGGGCTGCACTTCATCCAGGAAGTTTGAAGCCTAAAGAATGAAGAACCTGGGCTGGGGATTTAGCTCAGCAGCATAAGCACCTGCCTTGCAAGCAGGTGGTCGTGAGTTTGATCCCCGGTACCAATTTTAAAAATTTTTTTAAAAATTTCTTCAGTATAAGAATGAGGGACGTGAGGGGGCAACTATGGGGGCAGGAGCGCTCCCTTGGAACTTTGGAGAGCCAGAGTCCACAGGGCAGCAAGGGCCCGTGACGCCCAGCGAGTTGGTCCACCAGGGGGCCGGGTGCGGATGCGGGTGCGAATGGATGGATGAGAACACGCAGGGCGGGAGCAGACGGAGGGGTGGGAGCCGAGCGGGCGCGGGGCTGGGCGCGCCCCGGACTCACCCACCCTGCGCGCAGCGGCGGGGAATGGACGCCCCCGAGCTGGGCCCCAGCGCGCGGCAGCAGGCGGCCTGCGAGCGGCGCCGGCTCTGCAGCTGGAAGGACACGCGGCGTCCAGCAGCCTCGGCCTCGAAGCCAGACACCACCTCGGCCTCGGCGAGCGGGTACACGAAGACGCCTGCGGAGGGAGGCGGGATGCATGCGGGGCGGGCGGCCGGGAGGCGGCGGCGGCCTCCGCCCGTGCGCGTGCCCAGCTCACCGTCCACGGGCTGCGGCTGCGGGTTGCGGTAGGTAAGCCGCGCCCGCAGGCTGAGGCAGGGGCCGTTGGCGCAGGCCCGGACCCAGGAGTCCGTGAGCGGTAGCGGCGTCCAACTGGCCGGGCAGTAGAGGCCGGGCATGGCGCTCCGGCGGGGCTCCCGGCTCGTCCTCGCGCGTTACCTGGGACCCCGGAGCCGCGCGTTAATGATTAACCGGGCTGTGGGCGCTGGGTCCCCGCGTGGGGGGCGCAGCTGCTGGGCGCCGCCCCCGTAGCCCGCGGCCCCCAGGGGCTCCCGGCCGCCAGCTGTCGGAAGATGCGCGGGTGGGGAGCAGGGTTTAAAGGGCCTGCAGCTCCCGGAGGCGCGGCCCGGCCCGGCCGGGAGGGTGCGCGCAGCGGCGCGCTGCAGGCTTCGTCCGCGGTGGGCTGCGGAGGGAGGAGAGGTCGGGAGTCGGAAGGAGGGCGCCTCGGGGGCCGGGGCCGGAGAGGCGTCCGAGTCAGGGGAGCCCGCGATGCGGCTCGAGTCGCCGCCGTCTGCGCCCCGGATGCTGCGGGCCGGGTCCCAGGGTCGCCCCCTCCCCGCGCGCGTGCCGGCCTCACCGCCACTGCTCCGCGAGTCCCGGGCGTCGCGACCGCACCCGCTCGGGGACCCCGCACCTGCACCTGCACCTGCAACCGGGGACGCCGGCTCGGGACTCCCGCTGCGGCCGCTGCGAGCCGGGGCGGGGCGCGGGCCCGGCGACGTGGTCCCGCCCCGCGGCGAGAGCCGCCCCTCCGCTCCGCCCGCCCCGCCCTCCCGCAGCACCCCCCACCCCACCCCCACCCGCACCCCGGGCTCCCTGCCGCGAGACCCGCACCGCACTGCAACGGTTGCGGCCCGGCCACCACACGGCCGCGGGACCCGGGCCTCCGCGACTCCACCCTGCCGTCCCCGGAGAGGTCGGGTATTCTGGAGCCTGCAAAGCTCGCTCTGCAGCGACCCCAAGCCTGCACCTTCCCCGTGCTGCAGTGAGTCTCCCGCCGCGCGGGCACGGCAGTGCTGTCACCTACTTTGGCATGATGGCTGTGACCGCCTGGTTTCTGCGTTTCCGGGGCTCCGGGGCTCCGAGAGTGAAACGTCCAGCTCCCAGAGTGATGCAGATGGTCCCTGTCAAGCCAGACCCCACATTCCCACCCTGCCCATTCGGTTCCAGTCGCCAGCTGCACCGGCCCCAGGGGAGTCTGGGACCGCCTGAGCATGTAGGCCCTCAACCTCAACCTCTGGCTTCCTCAGACCACTTAGCGGGTCAGTGATTGCTGGGCCTTTCCTCGGAAGCTTGGGATGCCCACACACAGAGAGCACAGCCACCTCCACACCACTTAGCCACATGGGCTCCAGTGGGTCCTGGCTCACCTCATTTCTCTGTAGAACCTGCCCAGCCTCAGCCTTTGAGAAATGGCAGACAAGCAATGGTCTCTTCAAGGAGACCCAGGTGCTTAGGCCCTGGGAGCCTACCCATGTGTAGGCAGCAGCTACCTCCCCCAGGCACCTTGGGCTCAGCCCTTTCTGCAAAGGAACCTACAGTTTTCCTCAGGTCCAGCCTGAGACTTCAGGGACCTGTCTACAAAGACACAGCATGGAAGAGCCAGGCTTGGTGGCACAAGGCCTGTAACCCCTTGGGAGGCTGAGGCAGGAGGATGCTGAGGGTTGCCTGGCTCAAAAAAAAAATAAAAGAAATTCAAGAAGAGGTCTCTGCTTGGGTTGCAAGGAGAGCCTGGAAATAAGATGGCATCCTTATAGAAAGACACTGTCTCTGTGGGAAGCCAGGGCAGCAATACCAAGGAAGTGTCCTGGGGCCTTCGTGCGGGTTGGGGCAGAAAAGGGGCTCCAGGGCCCAGCAGGAAGGCACTGTGGGGAAGGGAGAGAGGGAGGGCGGGACAGCAGGGTGGCGACTGAGGGTTAGGGAAGGAACAGCACAGCCCTGAGGGCCTGGTGCCAGGGTCTGGATGTGGAGGAGGACCTGAGGAGCCCGAGGTATGCAGGGAGCTGGCGTGTGTGCTGGGCAGAGCAGGAGGGCGGGGATCCCAGAGACACTGGGGCTTTGGTGCAAAAGGCAGGGGAACCCGACAGGTGACCAGGCAGCTGAGAGAAGAGCTGGTCCTCTGACTAATGGCTGCTGTGAAGGCCTTCAGCGGGGAGGGGGGCCACCTCCGGGGGGCTCAGCACTTAAACTTCATCCTACTGGGAGGAAATCAGGCTGTGAGCTTATATGAGGAACCAAGGTCTAAATACATTAAGGAACAGAATAAAAGGCAGCTCACACTAAGAAACAGGGAGATGGGTCATTTGTGAATAGGAGGGGACCTGAAGATGGGGGGAGGGGAAAGCAGGGTGGGGACATGTTGGGCGCAGGCGCTCAACATACCATACCCCACCCGGGACTAAGGACCACGCCAGCTTCCGCAATGCGCTATGTCCCTCTTTAAATTAGCCAACCCTTGCACACTTCGTGCTCACTCCGTACTCTGTGGCAACTCCTGATTGGCCACAGCTGGATATGTTAGCCAGAGCCTGCATCCCATTCCTGCCCTGCTTTCTCGTGGCAGCCTGTGATTGGTCACGGCCAAATATATAAACCAGAGCCCGCGTAAATAAACCAGCAGTTAACTGTCGTCCACAAGTGCATCTCCTGTTTCATTGGGGCTGTGCCGGTCAGGGACAGAAATAAGACAAGAATTAAAATGTGTCCTATAAACCGGGTGTGGTGGTGCGCACCTGTAATCCCAGCATTAGGGAGGCTGAGGCAGGAGGAACACCATGAATTCAAGGCCAGGCTTGGCTATGAAATGAGTTCAAGGCCAGCCTGAAATATATATCGAGACCTTGTCTAAAAAAAAAAAAAAAAAAAGAATTAAGGTATGTTGTGCACATATGCCAGCTCCCTGAGGGAAATGTGATCATAATGTCCTGCAAACATGGACTAATGAAAGCAAGAATTAAACAAAAAACTAAAGACAAAATGGGAGTTAGGGATGAAAGTGATTTTTCTAATTGTTTTTTTCTTTTTGAGACAGGCTCTCACTATACAGTTCAGGGTGGCTTTGAGTTCACTTTGTGAACTGGTCTCGAACTCGTAATGATCCTCCTGTCCCAGCACCCCCTAACCTAGAGCTACAATCCATGAAGGTGTTTTGGGTCGACCTGTGAGCTCAGCTCCTGAATGGGTAGGAAGATCAGAGGGACCGAGGAAGTCCAGGAGCAAAGGCTTTTCTTCTGGTTAACAGGTGGTGAGCGTTTATAGACCCACAGGTGCTGCCCTGCACGTGGATCACCTCATTGGGTAAGCAGATGGGCTGGCGTATAGCCCTGTGGTGAGGCACTGAGGTGTGCAAGGCCCCCAGGGCCTCCACACCGGCTTACAGCGGCTCTGAGAAACAGCCCTTGTTATTTACATGGGAGAGAACTGAGGTCCAGAGAGTTCAGCACCTGCTCATCTCAGGCTGTCACTATGGTGGCTCCATGCTGAGCTCAGATGCCCAGCCTCCAGATATCTGAATTTAAACTACTCTGACAGACGGCATGGCTGGCTGGCTTGCTTTCCTTCTTCCTTTCTTCTTTTTTACACTATGTTTGCGCGTTGGTTTTTTTTTTTTTTTTTTTTTTTTTTTGCTTTTTGAGACAGGGTCTTGCTATGTAGTTCCAGGCTGCCTTGAACTTACTGTGTAGCCCAGACTGGCCCAGAACTCATAGTAATCCTCCTGCCTCAGCCTCCTGAGTGAGGGCTGGGATTCTAGGTGTGCATCATCATGCTCAGCTTTTAGTTTACTTCTTAATTAACAAATATTACCTATTTTTATTGTTTATAGCATCCTGTGGACTAGCCAGATGATCAGTCTCTCCCCCACTCCCTCCCTACCTCTCCTTCTCTCCTGGAGATGGAAGCCAGGGCCCCACACATGGCAATCATTTCTTCCACCATTGAGCTGTACCTCCAGCCCCAGTGTGGCTTCCTTAGTGTTATTTCCTGTTTTATTTTTCATTGATTTTTCCTGAAACTCTTAACAAAGTTCATTCTGAAAATTTCCATCCGTCTTGACTAACCCCAAACAAAATTTTTAAGAACAGTCAAGAGAGAATTGGCTGTGGGTGTCCTGGGGCACGGAAAGGGGAGGTGGGTGCTGGAGCCCTCCCTCTCCCCACCCTGGCACCAAGCCTGGCACCCAGAAGCTATCCACTACACTTTGGCTGATAGAGAATCAGCCACAGAGACAATGTGAGGAAACCCTTGGAAAGATCCTTGCTGGTCCGATGGCAGTGGGTTATCAGAACTTATTAACATTAGTGTCACTAAAGTTGGTATACCACACCCACCCCCACTGCTAAATTTGACTGGCTTTAAAAAAAAAAAAGGGAAAGATCCTTGATGCACAGCGTGGTCCGGCCAGAGCATGTCTGTCAAGGACCTTTCCAAGGAGGGGGTGATGTGAGGAGTGAGATAAACCTGGAAGAAGCAGCCTGAGACCATGACAGTCTGATCCCAGCAGCTCTGGAGGCTGAGGCAGAAGGATCCTCCCAGGTACCCTGGGCTACATAGTGACATTCAATCTCACAAACACAAAACAAAAACCCACCATCAACAAGCAGGAGGCACATTATATGAGGAAATCTATGAACACTACAGGGAAGAGATGTCCTAAAAGCTATGGAGAAGGAGCTGGGGATTTAGCTCAGCAGCATAAGCACCTGCCTTGCAAGCGTGCAGTCACGAGTTTGATCCCTGGTACAAGAAGAAAAAAAAAAAGCTATGGAGAAACCTTTGAAAAACTTTCAGATAGCCTCTGTGAAATAAGAATTAAGTCACATAAAATTTCTTTAATACCAGAGAAAGGAAAGCAAGAGAGGAATTTTTTTGAGACATAGGCTTCATAGGTTTCATAGAATGGAGTCTCCCACCTCAGTCTCCCAGAGTGCAGGATTACAGGTGTGTGCCACCACCCTGGCTGGAGTGTCAGCTGAAGGCAATAACATTTAAACTGCTAGAATTTTATATCCAGCCATATTATCATTCCAACAGGAAGATTTTATAAAAGTATGTTTTTAGGAATCTTTTTGTGTTTTGTTTTGTTTTGTTTTGTTTTCAGGAATCTTAAGGCCATTCAAGT